TACACTAGGAATCCAGAGCATTAAACCAGTAAGCTTAAAACAAAATAATCCAATTAAGTGCTTCTCATGATTACACTTGAGAAGCACACCGGCTTCATATGCAAAATTAAATCAGGTTCAGCAATGAGGATATACAGACGTTCTGTTATTTGTTCTGAGGGTAACAAAATGAGCCCTCCAAACATATAGAGTGAGATATAGAGGCCAAAAGTCTGTGTTTAAAAAAGTAGATAGGGTGTCTTTCATACCTGTCTGGATCCCACGAGTTCCCAGAACAGGTCCACCTTGAGGGAAGAAGAGCACTGGCAGGCACTTTGCGCCACTTAAAACAGTCTTCGCACTGAGTCCATTGGATGTTTTCACTGAACATATGAAATACAGAATTAAATTCACTTGGCCAAAAGAGATGACGTAAATTGGCTAATATGCTCATTTGGAAAAATAGCTTAAGAAACCTTGAGACTCATTTAGTTAAAAGAAGAATACACAATGATTATGTTCGATATCAGTACAAAAGAGAATTTCTTAAATTCCAAAAAAAAAAAATGAAGACCAAATGCCAAATGCGCGTGGAATGAAAGCCTGCAAACTTCGAACAAATACATACTGGAGCCATTTACTCAAAAAAATCTCAGAAAATATTCTGGACTGCCTCCAATGTGCACGTCACTAAAGAAAAAATTTGAGAAAATTGTCAGGACTACCTCCAAAGTGCACATGGGCAAAGATGCTTTCAAACAAACAGGCATAGACTAATCAATGATGTGTACAAATCAAAGCACATAAGCAATGTACCCTGTATTATCTGTTGCAGGGATTGTAGGCATCCCAATAACTGGTGCATCCTGCTAAACAAAATCACATCCAAAACCCAAAAGATTGAACCTCTTTCAGTGCTTTGACATCAGTTGTAAAGTTTGACAAGGAATAAAAACACTAAGAGAACAAAGCAAACATGAAGGCTGACAAAGTTCAAGAAAAACTAATAGTAATCCCTAAAGAAAATTATGGTAACCGATTATCATTTCAGAAAAAAAAAATATATCACATAAAGGCCCAGCTGATCACGTGAACTATAGCATCAAAGAAGATTTTCTTTAGAGCAGCAGCCTAGCATATGATCTTTATACGGAAAAGTTAATCTCGAGCTCATAATACCAATATAACATCGCAAGTTTGTTAAAAGCAAAATAAGCATTTATGTCTCAGCAAGGCCAATTGACTAACAACTTTGTTCCAATTTACTTCTCCTTCTCCACCATTTTCTTTACTTTCTTCTCCATACTCTTGAGTGAATCCTTGGCAAATGCCTCAACTAAGCAAAACTTTAGAAGATTCTACCTCAAGATATATCTGTTTTCCCATATCATAAACAGATTTCGAAAACAAAATCGATATGATTTGCCTTGGAAAACATAAAAATTGAGAGTTCATAATATAGATCACAAATTCTTTGTTCAGTTACTATCTTCACAGCCCAATTTAAAGACCCACATTATTTTCTAGTTATGAAAAACAGGAGATTGCTACAACCACCATAGAGCAATAATGGACACTGATCTATTTGGATCATGAAATGCAAAAGACTGCATACCTCATATTCCTCAAATTCATATTCTTCAATTACAACAATAGCAGGGACATGGTTGGGTGATGGACGGATCAATCCTTGAGCTTGTTCCATTGTCAGCTTTAGCTCTATCATGCCCCCGTTTTCAATTCTTAGGCGTTTACCCTTTGAAATCAAGGTACTGTTTTTCCTCTTAACACGGGAGCAAGGCTTGGCCTCAAGTACTTCCTTCGCTATGTATCCGGACTTGTCAAGTTCGGATAAAGTAATGGCCGGATCTGCCGACTTAGCCTGGTTGATTGATGAAAAGCTGGATGATATGGAATTATCTTCAATACAACAGTAAGTTGAAACAAATTCATCAGGTTTAGTACTTACAGCACTAACATCTCCAAGGGTAGAAACCCCATTACCAATATTGACAGCATCATTGCCCTGTAAACAGGAGAGAACATATTAAATATATGTTGAAACAATCCAACTTATGGTACCACAATCCAAAAAACAGAGAAAATCCAATGATATTGCATGGATTGCGAAATACTTCCCAAATTAAAATCAAGATGAAAATGGTATTTACTATCTTAAAGCAGAACGAATCCCATTTTATTGGTCTGGTTGCTGATAGGCAGTTATCTAAAATAATGATAGGAATTTGGCAACATTACATTTGGTAACTACAAGATAGCAGGAAAAACTCTTAGTTTATGGTACAAGACCAAACCTGATCTGATGAAGGAGCAGTGGAAGCCTTTCTGCATCCCATGACCAACTTTCCTTCAGGCTCTACCCTACTAAATGTCACTGAACAGAACCAATATCATATCTCAATCACAACTCAAAGAATTCATAATAGATTCGTTCATCCAAAGAAGCAAGACACAGCTCACTCTGGGGAGGTGGAAAATAAAGAAAGGGCAGTGGGGATTAACGAGCAGAACATTGTATTTTATGTCCTCAAATGCAGATACAAATTATATAGCGTGCATAGGCAATCTGTAGTGTATGAGCAACAGTTAGTAAGGCTGCTGCAAAGAAAAAAAAACGACAGCAAAGTTGTTGCTGCTTTCAACATCTACCCTAAGCCCACCCATCTTGAGGCAGAACATGGGAATGGTTCAAAGAACCTTTTAACCCAGAAAGATAATTGTAAAATAATTTTTTTTTTAAAAAAAGGGATTGTTTCCAGGCAGTACTAGTTAGTTACCTATATCTCCAGCTTGCAATTGCATGGACTGTATACAAGGAGTTACCCCTTCTAAAACATACATTCTGCTGTTATTATTGGGCCAGAAGCGGAATTGAAATACCCATTCCCGGCCTTTTAGATCTTGTACTTTGAGTGGCAATCCTTCAGGTTGAGAAATAGGGGGAAAATAGGCCTGTGTAAATGAATTTGAACTCATTAGAATTGCAAAGAGAACCAATTTATGAAAAATCCAAAAGAAAATTACAATGAGTGATGACAAAAAAACAAATGTTAGAATGCTCAATAGACTGCTTTGCAGACTTCTTCCATTAGCATTCTTTAGAAGTGTGGGGAAGAAAAGAAATGGTACGTATTTTAAGCATAAAGTAATGTCCATGGAAAGGCTAAAGCAATCACTTTCATACTTCCATAACATCTGGGAAAAGGGCTTCTAACCTTAGCGCTTAGTCCCATACTCCCATTTATTGAGTTTTTGGAGGAGATGACTCAATCTTAAATTTGTATAGTTATTGGTTACATTAATAAGTAGACAACAAAGTAAAAGTCAAATCTTATAAAGCAAAAAGACCCACCTCTGCACATTTTTTTGGCAGCACTAAACGCCCTATCCGCCCAGCATCACTAGCACTTAACATCTTCTCGAACAAAGGAGTAATTACCGAGTTCGAACTAAAATTCAGTTAAGGAACAACAATCAATAAATCACTGCTCAATTGCATCAGAAAAATGAAGTCAATAAGTAGGTTAATTGCCAAAAAATGAAGTAAGTTTCTTCAACCAGCAAAAAAAAAAAGTAGGTTAATTGCCAAAAAAAGGTTACATAGATCTACCAGCAACTGTTCCCAAACTTGGATTCAAGAAAAATCCAAACAGATGACACAAGAAATCTAAATCCAGAAAAACCTGTTGAAACAATTATGGTTAGTACCATAACTAACAATTTGGTCATAAAAATGCCTCAAGAAACAAAAACGATTTCTAGAACCATGGGATACTCTCCAGATATTTGTTGTAGCTCCTGATCAGTTATCCTGGGTCTATACCGAGGAAGTAACTGGTTTCGTCCCCGGGAATCTCCTCGGGGTCTTCCATTGCGCATTGGAGCTTCAGCAGATGAGTCCAAACCATTATGGCCACAGAATTGTTTTCCAACTGGAGGAGGGGTAATTCGTTGTACGTGAATCCCAGAAACCTTGGTTTGGTCGTTCATTTCATTTTTGGATTCAGAAGGTAGAGCCAAACTAAAATTGGAGAAGGCTCATCTTTTGATGAGAAGGACTGCTGAGAAACATGTACACAAGGATTATATTGCCCATCACAGTTGATTCCTGCAACAGCACAATTGCATGAAGGTAAGCAAGAAGCCCATACCTGTTTACGTATTGAAACATTTCCACGGCATGAAAGCAACAACATGCTGTAGATTTTAAATGTCCTATTTATTCTCTCATTAGTACATATCCATTCACGAGAAGACAATTACCAGTATTTCCATTCTCTGGTATCTCTGGCACACCACTCTTCAGGCTTCCGTTCAATAATCTTCCATGGGATTCCTCTTTTTTCTTATTCTCCCACGAAGCAGATAAATGCTCACTAATACGAAGTTTATCAATGCCACCTGAAATTTCAACTTCAAAGGGCATCCTAGGCTGCAACTCAGACTGAGTAGTTGAACCATTGAACAAACTGGGTGCTTGCCGCCATGGTAGTGGGCCTGATCCAGCTAATGGATTCCAATTTTTGACAGACAGATCTTTAATTCTTTCAGGCTGTAGAGGAAGTAAAGATGGTGGCGGCCATGCAGGATTTGGCGTCTGTAACACAGAACAACAAAATATGGAATTGTGACACATATCTTCCGCCCAGACAAAAAATAAACACATTTGGTAACACTTTCTGGTTGAAGCAGTCTATTATAGGAGAAAGGGGCCGAAAGTAATAAAATACCTCTGCTAATGAGAAATTAAACTGTTAAAACAAAATGTTTACTTTTTGCCAACTTTTTAGATACCAGTATATGAATTATTCATGAAAGGGAAATGGAGAACAACAGTGCAGAAATCACAGGTCCCATAAATTACTAGATTTTTGTTTCAGAAGAATAAATTATGCTAACCTCTTTGGGGAATGGGAATGCCGTTTTTTAATTTGATTTGCCCCACCTGGGTTCTTGGGCAGGTCAACTTTTGAAAGCAGTGTTATTCTTCATGTTATCAGATAGACGCATGCTGAGTGCATGCATTCAGAATCTCTTTTAATCTTAATAATCAAATTTTACTCACTTCAGGGCCAGGTTTCTGATTTCAGTGAGAATTAAAGAGGGCCAAGCTAGGGCTACACTTAATCAGATTAGGTTTAGGTTTAAGGTAACCCATCCCTATTAATTAAATTCACTATTTTTTACTATAACTAATTCAAAGTGGGAAAGGATGGCAAAGACGGCATGATTGAACCACCCCGTGGCATGGAGCAAATTGTCCTTACCAAAATGAAACTTTTCCTCGCACATGTAATGCACTCAATTCCTCCAGCATCCAATAGTACAAACATGTGGAATGAAACTATACATCCACAATGTATTTGCTGCAAATGAAAATTCATTGTTACAAGCCTTGGACCAAAAAAGTAACTCAAAAAAGAGACTTCAAAATGAAACTAAGTTCACATCTACAATAGAGAAGAAAACATATAAATTTGCTAAATCATCCGTGATAAACAGTTGCGACAAGGCTTTGTTGAGTTGGATATCCATAAAATAACATTCTGTTTCCCAAACCAAAAACAAAATCTCAAAAATATTTAATCTTCTGCTCACCTTCCCACAAGACTCGCAAGACCTCCAACCAGAAGCATTCACATGAAAAGTCTCACAGAATCTCCCCTCCTCATAAACAGAACTAAGATCATGAATCAGAGTCAATTCACAGCAAATAAAGATAAAAGTTGAGACATTAAAAGCCACAATATGAATTGATCTTCTAACATAGCACAGAACATGTTATAGGGCTAACAACAGATTTTTTTTTTTTTGGGTGGGGGTGGGAAGTTATTATATATATTTTTCCACTTTGGGGTGGGGGTTAGGGAATTCCGGAGTCAAAGCTATTTTTAGCGCCTTAGACAAACACATTATCACTAGAAGTTCAGGAAAAATACTAGATATCGCATTTTGACTACTTTCAGGATCAGTAAATGCAACTAAATTCTGAGGCATACATTAATAACCATAAACAGACAAATACAAAGCATCCATCCGGTAAAAGAGAAATACACCTAAACATTAAGGAGGATGTCTACAATATTGTTTCACATGCTCATCACCATATGTAATTCAGTGAGTGAAGTTCTCTCTCCAGTAAATTGTGTATAGGAGAGGGGGAATACGGGCATTTACAGTTGCAAACATCATGACTCCATCTCATTCCCACTGCAGTCATCTCACATTGTTTGGCATAAGAAGTCCAAAAGTTCATCACAAGCTTTAAAGTGAAATCTGTAACAAATTGTACCACAGACTTTGTTCTCAACGCATAAGTTGATAATTTGAAAGGTTGGATCTGAACTGCTAGAGCTTAATATCAAAGATACTCGAGCAACATTGAAATTCAAAAAGAGAAAGATCAACATCTGTATTAAATGCCACCAATACATCAGATACTCAAGCAACATTGAAATGCAACAAAAGCAATAATCAACAGTAGTATTAAATGCCACCAATACAATTATGGATTAGCTGAGATACAAAACCCCGAAGAGTTGAAATCGATCAAAGCATTTCTAAGTTATGGATAAACTCTAACGATGTAAAACTATCCATATGGATTAGTAAAGGTTGCTAGTACAACCCTGATTCCAGTGGCCATTCATATAGAAATACACATATTTCATGTATTTTTCAACAAAACACAAGGGTTTATTTAACACCACTACATATCTACCTTACCTTAATATTAAAGGAGGATGGAAACATGGATTAAAAGATTCAAACGAGTACATTTAAATTCTTATAAGGAATGGGGTTTTACATGTTGTCTATCAACTATCTCTATTATTTTCTGCTTCTGCATAAGGGAAGAAAGTTATGCAAACACTTCCAATTCAACCCTCTAAAAGATGGAAAAAGGAAAACCATCTCCTTAAAAGCACAATCCAGTTTAAGGCAAAATACTTCCTAGAAAAATTTAACCTGCAAATAGTAATCGAAAGCAGTCCTTTTGATAAATAATAAAAAAAAAAAAAGAAAATCCTCAAACACCAAATTATTTATACACATAATATTCCCTGGAAACAAATACTATCAAATAAAAGATAGCCAAATACTATCAAATAAAAGATAGCGAAACCAATTTTCCATGTTCCCAACCCCTATTCACAGGGAACACTCAACTAGTGGACATGAATCCCCTAGGAAATTCAATGCACATTAGCCTTTTGTTTTGTTTTTTTTCCACTTCCAATCTAAGAAAAAGACGCTGTTTTTCCAATTTCCCAATCAAATTTCATGCATACCAACAACGATGGGACCTCCAAACTTAATAAAAAAACTAATCTTGCACTAGAAACCAGTTCTTACCAAATAATTAAGCACCAAATAGAGTAAATCAACAACAAAACAATGCCAAACCCGTAAAGCACACCCTAAACTCCGCTTAAACAGACCCCAAACGCTCCAACGATTAAAAACACAATAATTCAACGGAAAATTGATAAAACACTGAATCAGTCAACAAAGAGTCAAAATTGCTTACGCGCAACGTTCACAGAGGTCGGCGAACTCGCCGGTGCGTCGGCGCCAACCTTTTCTGGACTGCACCAACAACTCTTTGCAGTTCGAATTGAAGCAAACCTTCGTCGATGAAGGCGACGACATCGAAGCTTACAAGTACCAAAACTAAACTCGCATAAACCCTAAACAAAGCAATAGAGAAAGATGTAACGAGCAACAAAAATAGAAAAATCTCGAGAATCTACAATTCTAATTGAAGCAAATCTTCATCGAAGCACTTATGAAACCAAAAAAAAATAAAAAAATCTTCAGCGAAGCTTCAGAATGAAGAAAAGTGCTAAAATGGAAGTGAAATCGACCAAAGAACTGGAGAGAGGTGTGCGGGTGATCCGTATACAAAGAGAGGGGGGGGTTGGTTGGAGCCTTGCAGAGAGGGTTTTAGAGAGAGAAAGGAATGAAGCAGAAGTGAGAGAGAGAGAGAGAGAGAGAGAGAGAGAGGATGTGTATGAATAGGTGTTCTTGTATGTATATATTCGAGCCTCTATGTGTGTTTGTGTAAAGAGGCTTGGAAAGCACGTCGAGCGAAGTAGTGAGAGTGGAGTCTCGACTCGTCTCTCTCTCTCTCTCTCTCTCTCTCTCTCATCATTTGAATAACTAGAAATAACTTAGTGCATGAGAACACTGTATAATAATAATAACCGAATATTAATAATAGAGTTGTTTAGTATTAATAAGTGTATTGGCTACATTATTTGATATTAACTCTAAGAAATAATTCATTTGAATTTTGGTCATCTCTTTCGGTTAGGTTTATCCTTATGAATATTTTAATTTTTACGTCTTTGATCAAATCGGGGGAAAAAATTAATACATGTAAATTAATTTGGACACTACTAATATTAAAAAATAAATAAAAAATTGTCTAACGCAGTCACAGGAAGGACCTGAAGAATATAATTTTTTTTGAATGAATTTTATACCATTAAATTAAATTAGATAAAAATTAAATTAATTTTAATTGGAATTGTACTTTTATAAATATACACTTCAAATTCCTAGGTGTAATATTAGATATAATATTAGATGGACCAAAAAAATAAGATCAAAAAAAGGGATCTAATTAGTTTCACTTTTATTTATTAATATTCAATATTTATTTACTATGGCAAATGTCACACCATTTGAACTCAATTTTTTATCAAGGTATACACAATACTTATACACTAAAAGGGATACGATTTTAATACCAAAAATGATTTTGTAGTATCATATATTTTTATTTCTTGCCCAATAAGAATATGTTGTAAATTTATATTTTTTATGATTAATGGGTGCAAATTAATTAAACTAAAATCAACGATTATATCAATTTATATGGCTACCAATTTTTTCCCACACTCATACCCAACTCAAAATCATAAGACGAGTGTGCATTGCAATTAAGAATATTAAAATTTCAACTAAAAATATAATATTTTTGAAATATGAGGGGATCTTTGGAGATACCATCCAAACAAGCTATAAGAATATTAAAATTTAAATTGAGTGAATCTCAGTCATTCTTGTGCCAACCTAAGTTGGGAGATTTAAAATGAGTCATATTCTATTATATTAATGTAAGAAAAAATGCGTAATTTTTTTATCTATTTTAATTTTCAAAATAATGATTTCTAATTTGAAAGTTTTGGATTTTCTAAATAACTATATGACATAATTATGACAATTGATCTAATAAGATAACTAGCATTTTAAATTTTATGCTCCTTTATTCTTTTAGCTTATTTGATCACATCACTCAATTTTATCATAAGTTAAATTATTTAATTTTTTATTAATCTATGGGGGTCAATACTATTTTATTCCAGGTATTGGTCGTATAAGATTTATATACATATATGGACGACATTTTTTAAGGTCATGAGTTTTGACAATTTTTTGTCAATGTTTTTTAAAACATAATAGGAAAAAAAATTATTATTTAATATAGTAAGATCAATTTTTTTTGGCATTCAAGTTTTTAGGTACGAGTTATGACTAATACTTGAATATAATATTTTTTTGCTGATATAATATGATTCAATGGACTACTATTTAGAAAAAAAAGTATAGAAAAATTAGGTGCAAAGTCCGGGTACTTGGTGAAATTTTAAAAATATAAAACCTATTAGTATAAATAAATACATTGTTAGGGATAGGGATTCAAAATATCTATATCGTGGACTTCCAAATTGAGCCCGTTGACGTAGCGAGTACATGATTTAATGTACACGAGAGACTATGGTAATAAGATTTCTTTGGCTGCTATAAGGTCATGTAATCACGTAACGCATATTACATAGATCACTCGCGCTTTGTAACTTAGATAATAAATAGGGTTAAAAATAATTTGAGTTATTCGGATTCGGTTCGTATTTGATTTGTATAAGATTTAATTTGAGTTCAGCTCGTGTTTTAAATTAGCTGAATTTCAATAAATTTTTTAAACTCGTTTAAAAGAATAAACCTAAATGACTTGGTTTGAGTTACTCAAGTTTGGCTCAGATTCAATTCGTTTTGGGCTTTGTTCATTTTTTAAATGAGTCAAACTTGAACAATTTTTTTAATTTATTTTTAAAAAACGTACTTGACTTGTTCGACACAAGGTCGTAAAACTCAGTTCAATTATCAACCCGAATATGTTAATGTTAATCTCATAGTCAATACTTTCATATTGATTAGTTTTTTTTTTTGGTTCAACGGTCGAGTGTGTTTGGGGTCAACTTATATGCATTTTGACTAATTCACTCTCCGATTTGGTCAAAGTCAAGTTATTTATGCAGAGATTAGAGTATTCATAAGAGATAAATCTCGCATGATATCCCCATGAGTTATCAATATTCAAATTCAAAATATCTGAATTTACAGTTTGTCTTTATTACTATTTGAACTACCATGAAATTTATATTGGTTGACATGCCCTAAAATACTTTCATATCGATTAGTTTTTTTTGGTTTAACGGTCGGGGTGTCCCAGGTCAGCTTGTGCGCACTTTTACTAATCCACTCTCAAATTCAGTAAAAGTCAGACTATCCATGTCGGAATTAAGGTATTCATAAGAGATAAATCTTTTATGACTTGGTCCCAATGAATTATCAATATTCAAATTAAAGATATCTAAATTTATAATTCGTATCTATTACTATTTGAACTACCCTAAAATTCATATCGGTTATTTTGAGATTGGGAGGTTGAACTAAAAAATACTAGCTTAAGAATGCTAGTCAATGTAGACCAAAATATAATATTTTGAATAATTTTTTTTGATTCTACAACTAAAGAAACTAGCAAATGTTTTCTTTGTAAGACCACTCTGAAAGTACTTGAGTCAAAAATTAAATCACAGCCTTAACGTCTCAATCTTTTGCACAATTGAAAATAATCGTGTAGTCAAGATTCGAACATACCATACATAAGATCGAAGATTTTGCTAAAAACGTTTGTTTTAATTATATTCAACAATTATGATGGATTGAACTATGAAGTTTGTTTTAACTTTAGAGAATCAGCAATGCTAGATGAATTTAAAATACTGATTTTTCAATCATAATTATTGAATAGATAATGATTCTTAATAAATAATGAGATCTACAATTAAATCAATAATAGTAATTGTTCAAGTCAGATGAATCGCAACCATTGAATAAGTATTCAATCCTAATAAATAATAAAATTTATAAATAAATCAATAACAGTAATCGATCAAATCAATATTTTAAGTTCATAGAACATTCTAATTAGAGAATTGGTATGACCATTAGACATAGTGGAACCACATCATACTAGGCAAGGTTGAAGTAATATTTACTCATTATCGGACCAAACAAGGACATAATAAAATTGTGTTATTGATGTTGACATGATGACATCTAACTATATATATATATATGATAAAGTAGTTTCCTAAAGTCGTCCATAGAGTGGAAAAAGGGTAATGCATGTGCACAAGTATGACCAAGATTGATTCTCACCCACTTAATGGCATGTTCCTATAATTTTTTGTGATTCGGGATATTTTTTATTACACTTTTTTTAATTTTATTTAATAATAGATTATTTACCATTAATACAAGTGGGATTCACAATTTATAAACTCATACACGTTGGAGGTTGGACGATCTATTATTACATGAATTGGGTGAAAATATAATTAAGAGAATTTAAATCGATCTATTTTTTTTCACATAAAAACGTTAGATTTAGATTCACTTCAGTAGTAAATTTTCTCATGTTACTTTTAATCCGTCAAAACATGTGGAGAATTTATACAATATTATTCTTTTTGGGATAAGGTTGTATGACCAAAAAACAAGCTATGCAATTCCAAGTCTGTACTCATATAAATCAAAAAGTGATGTTGTAACGAGTGACCACAATTCACCCCCTTTAGGATCACGTGTACTTCGTGTGGAACCCGTCTAGACCAAAGTGGCATTGGTTTATGGAGGATAGCTCCGACAACGTTCGCTAACACTAACCAAGCAATCACCTCGTGAGACTAGTTGCAACATAATAGTAACGTCTTGGCCCGGCATTATCGAATATTATGGGGCTGTTTGTTTCAGATATAAGAGTGGTATAAAGGGTGGTATAAGGAAAATAGTACATGGGACTTATCTTAAATCTTGTTTTTTTGAAATTTTTTATTATAAACTAATTTTTGGGCCATATTACTGATCCGGTGTGAACAGTAACACTAATGTATTCTACACGGTGTTATTCAATACCACTTACCCGGTGGTATAATATTCTAGGTATAAATAAATGGAGGTATAATAAACTAAAATGACCGAAATACACTCAGGTATATGAAAGGTTAGTTGTAATTTTTGACTTTTGAAGGTTAAAATTGTCTTTTTACATTGGTTAATCGCAATTGTTGATTTTTTTAAATAGGTATTACATAGATAATGTTTGTGACAAACAAACAAGGGAAATGATGAGATTATAGTTTAAGATCGGGTATAATATACCATTGGATCGGAGTGGAATGAATATAAAATCTTATACCACCTAAATTTTATATTTGAAACAAACGGGCCTATAAGTTTTGAGTTTGATATGTACAACTTTAAAACACGTTTTACAATTAAAGTCTTAAAATTTG